GTCGAAGGAGGGAAGTCTTCGGCCTTGGCTTCAGGCTTGGTGCGGCACCCCGAAGCCCTCATCCGTAAGACCCTCATGCACAAGCCGTTGATTGCATGTCAGTGTAAGGCGGGCATCTGGCAGAAAGCGTATATGTTGACTGACTTAGCTCCAGAGTTGTATGTAGTCCGGCAACAGTAGGGTCAAGGGGCAACTTGCTGGACCTACCATACAGTTGACTCTGAGATCCGCCTTCGGCCGAAGTGGCCGTATCGCTCGTTCCGAGCTCGTCATTTCGACGTCACTGTTGAACCTCCGCAGCTCGCCCTAAAGGCAGCCCCAAAGCAATTCGCGACCGGAAACGCAAAGCCGCACCTGCAGGTCTGGATGGCAACATCCGAGGCGTCTCCCTGGGCTGGGACCTCGGCTGGACGAGTGCTGTCGTCGGTGCAGGAGGGAGGATTTCTTCACAACATGTCATGAGACATCCGCAGCACCGATCCGAGCCTAAACAGCCGCATCCCTAACATCCCTAAATTTCAATCCGACCACGTTCTCCACAAGGGCTGCAAGCCCCATAATCCTACACCCTGAGCCCCGGTGACCTGCCGAAGACCAGAGGCCGTGGAGGAGGTGCCGGCGCCTTCGAAGCACTCTGAAGATGCGCCTGAAAAAAAAGAGAGCACAGATCCTGGGGGTTTCAACCGGGGGCACCTTGATAGCATTTCTTTTCCGGCTTGATCGCATCACTACGTATGCACGGACGAAAATTAGGTGGCTGGCCTTGATACCGCCTCCGACACGCAGCAATCCTGACTACAGCAGTGCCGCATGTTGGATCGCTGTGAGACCAGGGGTTCAAGCTCGGCAGCAGTTGTGTTTCTTGTTGTATTCTGGGTTTTGGGAGGTGCAAGTTGGCCTGAGCTGGCAGATCAGCCCCCAAATCCTAAACCCTAGATTTTAAACCCTAAACCCTAAACCCCAAATCACGCGCGCGCACGCGTTGCCGATCTGGGCTCACATTGGCAGCCGCAGTCAGCTGCGCAGAGCGGATTGTGGCGACTGCGCTCTCGAGCCGAGCGGCTCGGCTCTCAGGCGCCCTGATATAGGGGCCTTAATACTTAGCATAGGGTTTCCTTTAACGGGATCCTTTAGGGCCCATTGTACTATAATTATACTATAAGAAGGGGCCTTCATAATTAGAACAGGGTTTGGGGGCCCATTGGACGAAAATTATACTATCAGAAGGGGCCTTAATAATTAGAACAGGGTTTGGGGGCCCATTGTATTATAATTATACTATAAGAAGGGGCCTGAATAATTGGAACAGGGTTTTGGGGCCCATTGTACTATAATTAAACTATAAGAAGGGGCCTTAATAGTTAGCATAGGGTTTTGGGGCCCATTCTATTATAAGCGTAATAAGGAACCCCCCAAAATGGTATTGGTAATTATTCAGGCCCTCACATTGTCTGTTATTGTCGTTGCGGCGGGGCATTGCCAAAAGTCCAGGTAGGTCTTGCGATTTGGGGGTTTCCGAAAATAGGGGACCCTAATATAGTACCCTAAATAGTAGGATCCTTATAAGGACCCCAAAATAAGGTACCCTAATTTTCGGAAACTCCCATTTCAATGGCTGCAGATGTCGTGAACCGGCTCTGAGGTGCAAACATGGTGCGGCCAAGTGATAGATTCGAGGCGCTTCGTCTTGATGTCTTCGAGACGATGAGTCCTTGCTCACAAGATTAACCCACAGATGTCTCTTCTAATTCTTGTAGCAGTACTCAGTAGCAGTGTCGTGCGTGATTTTTTTGTTTGCTGCTTGAAGCGATGCGACACACTTTTTGCAAGGCCTTTCTCCTGTCCATGCACCCATGGAGGCACGCAGCCCTGCAGGACGCTCATGGCACCAGAGAACCCTGGTCGCGGGGCAAAATCATCCCCAATATAGTACCCTAAATAGTAGGATCCTTATCATAAGGACCCCCAAATAAGGCAACTTGACATGCATGAACGCAGAAGAAGGCTTTCAAAATTGGCCACGAATGGTTCGATAAGTTACTGCCCCAGTGAAGGTTTCCGAAGTGCAGACGAAAGCCTCCGGGAAATAAGCACTACCATCCGTTGGCTTTGCGCTTTTTGACAGGCGGGGTCCAGGAGATGCGCTGCAAGCTATGCCGCTTGATGTTGAAACATTAAATGGCCTCTCCAGTAATGTAGTATCTTGGGGGTTTGCTTGTCCTTTGTCCTGTCCTTCCTCTTAATACCCGAGTAATAACTTCGCCCTGGGTTGCGTGTGTTTGGAGGTGGGGGTAAGCTGGGCCCAGAGTTGACAAAGCAACAAGCCTGTGAATTTAGCCTCCATAGCTTTTGCTTAGGGACCATGCTTGTCCCAGTTTCTTTTCACTTTCGTAGGCTTCTGGTGAAGCGGTGCTTGGTTGGAAATGTGGTCTTGGGCACAATTCGATTCGAGACAGCCTAAGCCTAAGGTTGTTCTGGGATAGTCATCATCAGGTGGGGGAATGCCTCACGGCCAGATTCCAGTGGAACAGGCTGTTGAAGTTTGTGTGGACAGGTCGCAGAAGCACTGGCAACAGGCGTCTTCTTGGGTTCTGACTGACAGAAAATAGGCAGATAGGTGGATAGGTAGATAGTTCAATAGTTAGATAGATAGCTAGATAGCTAGAGGCACATACATGCAAGACTTACATACGTACATTCATATGCACGCATGCATGTCTCTATACTGACGGGCTGACGAGAAGTTCCCTTCCGTCAGTTTCAATGTCGAGCTTGAAAACAGTAGATCTTCAACACTGGTTGTCGTCAAAGCCAAAGCCATTAGTCTCGCAGTACTGGCACTCTGAAACCTAGATAGGCCCTTCAGATCCTGACAAATGCATCCCTCGGCCGTTGCGCCCTCCGTCCATCCTGGTAGAAACTGAAAAGTCTGCATTCTCGCAGAAAGCTTCCACCATGCCTCATATATTTACACAAATGAATACTGTATGTCTTATGCATATATGCATGTGTGTATATATATATATGCGTATTTCTAGAGTACTCTCTCTCCGTCTCTATATATCTATCTATATCTATGTGTATATATATATATTCGTATTTATAGAGTGTTATATGTATACATACATATATATATATATATATGCACGTGTGTGTATATATACATATATATATATATATGTATGTATGTATGTATGTATGTATGTATGTATGTATGTATGTACACCATAGTATTGTACGGGTTCTCGGCCTCTCCTTTCTCGCCAGCCCAGGGCGGAAACGCTGAAGCTCCCGTCCGCACAGGCTGCTGCACTTGTGCATGCCACTTAAAGACTTGATCTTGCTATAGTTTTTTAAATAATTTCCCTCTTAGCACAGTTATAAGTGTCAGTAGCAAAAGGTCCTGCTGTATCTCGTGCCTCTAGATCTTTGCATTGCATCCCAAGCAGCTTCACATCCTTCAGACCCCACAGCCCTAAACCCTAAACC